GTCCTCCCTCTCCCCGCCATCGTCCCTTCTTCTCCCGCAGTTGCCGGGGCGTGTGACGCGCCCACCGCCTCGTCTTTACCCCCTGACCATCCCCCCTCCCGCCTTCCCCTTCCCCTCCCTTCCTCGTCCGGCCCCCCCCCCTCCACCCTTCCCTTCTTCTTTTTCTTCCCCTCGCCACTCCCTGCCTGCCCCCCCCCTCCCCCGGCCCCTGTCCCCAGCCGCTTCATCCCAGGCAAGGGGCTCCTGCGCGCCCGAAAAGCCTGCAGCAGACCCCGCAGGGATGTTGATCCTCCCGCTCTGGGGGTGGAACCAGGCCTATCAGGGGCTGTGGTTAGACTCGACGAGAGCGTCGCCGAAGCGGCGGGCACGCCCTCCCCCCCTTCCTCCCCTCCCTCCTCCCCCTCGTCCACCCTGTCCGCCTCACTCCCCGTCGAGGTCGCCCGCCGTCTCTTAGCTGTCCCAGGCCCGCTCTCTCCCTCTCCCCGCCCTCCATCACCTCCGCCATCTTGAAGCTCCCTCCTCTTCTTGCCTGCTCCAAGCCTCCCCCCGGGAGGCCCTCCCGCCCGCGCCACGCCGCCCTCCCTCCTCTCCATCCCCCCTCGTCCCCTCCCTGCGGTGTCTACAAGCCCCTCCCGCGTCCTATCCTTGCTCTTAGCATCTTCCCCCTTTCGCCCTCTCTTTCCTTTCCCTAAATCCAAAAGGGCTTGCAGCGTCCCCTCTTCGATGCTCCCTTCCTCCTCCTCCTCCCTCCCTCCCGTCAAAGGGGACAAAGGCCGGATTGCGGAGTCTATCGCAGTAGGCCCGGGCCTAGAGCCCGTCAGGGACGGCCTTGTCTGCTTCTCTTTAACGGCCTTGTCCGGAGGGACAGCGGGGTGGCGCACTCGCCGCAAATGCTGGGTCGGAGGCTGTGGGGATGAAAGACCTTTTGTCCCCTTCGCATGCCCCGCCTTTGTCCCTTCCATCTTCTCGCCCTTGCCTTCCTTTGCACCCCTTCCTGTCACATTGTCCTCGTCTTGTCCGGCCAGCGCCTCCTCTATTCCTTGCGCCTCCTCCCCCTCTGCCCCCTCCCCTTGCCCCGCCTTGCTCCTCCCCTCGCCTGCCTTGCACCCGTGTTCAGGCACCGCGGTCTCCTTTGTACCGTCTTGTTTTGCTTCCTTTCCCTCGTTTCCCCCTTCTTTCTCCTCCTCCTGTACGCGTGCTTCCCTTGCCTCTTTCACGTTGCCCGTGCGAGGCTGCGGACTAGCGCCTACAAGCCTTGAACGTGCCACTGGCCGAAATTTGGTCCCTCGACCCCCACCACGCCCTGCTCATCAGATGTATAGATAGTATTAGTTACTTGTAGGGCCGAATGTTCCAACACATGTCCATCTGGCAAGGGCTATCAATGTCCTCCTCTCCCTTGTGGTTGTGTCCATATTGTGCTGAAACCATGTTTTTGTATTTACCTTGAAGACGCTCCCCCGGCCGAACCAAGACAGCATGCTGGCTCATCTTGGGTGCGACCAATATATACCTGCGCGTACACAAAGATTGATGCATGTGAGGGCATATATCAAGCGAGGTAGACGCAAGGGAAAGAGGTTGCATGCGCGTCCCCTCCGCCAGATCTACGATTGCCGTCCATCACCACGACCTTCCGTTACCTGGAAACAGCCAACAATTTTCAAGACTCAGCCGGTACGATTATGAAGCTATAAAGCAAGAATATCGGGACGTATCTATCCGTGGGTGTATGTTCGACGCGAGCGCCTTTGTCTGCACCATGCTCCAACCCGGCATGATACTTCTCTTCTCCCGCACAGGGATTGTCTAAAAAAGGAAATATGGCCGGTCCAAGCAATGTCAAAGGGATATGTACAAGCAACTTTGGTGACAGTGAGTTAACAAATGTGAGATGCGCGGCGTCTAGGTGTGATTTGTTTTCATTTTGAATCGCCCGTCTGGTTCCTGCTGGCAGCACTCCATACTTCCCTTCCACTTTGTCTTTCTCTACAGAGGATGTCAGCACGTTTTCTTTTATGTCGTTGACCAATTGAGCCCTTCATCTCCCCCGTCCTCACTAGATTATCCTTATTCATGCTTCTTCAATCCTCCCTCCCTTCCTTTGTGTTAATTTCTTACAGTCTCCCTTCATACACCTTTCTTTCATCACCCTGAACTGTCAGCGGTAACGAGTTGGGTGGCTAGCTCATTGGCCTCGGCATAGACATCGGATTCCTGCACCTCCTTGACATCTCGGCTCTGTGTCTGGGATGATTCCAGAAATGTGGCAGAGGGCCAAGAGATTCGATAAGATAATTGTGTGTGTGTAGGTAATTGTGTTGAGAATGTCGCCTGAGATCGAGATTGCCACCGCGCCCCTGTATCGCCATCTCTCACTTATGCTCTTTCACATGTCAGGCAACCATCCTTCCTCCCTCCCTGTCCTGATCATGTATTTCTAGTAGAAGCCTCACCAGGAATGCCGCCAAATGTTCCAAGGCTGCTTGCAGGCGGGATTTGCTGTCGGGGATCATCATATAAGACTCTTGGAGTACCTCTTCTTGCTTTTTGATGTCATAGGTGTCCCGGCCTTCGGTCCGCATGCCCGCTATTTTCTGTTCCTGAGCGGCTGCTTCCTTCTCGTATGAGGCAGCTTCTTTGATAAGCCTGAGAGAGGGTCAAAATGAGGTATAATGAGGGAGAGCAAGAGAAAGTCGAATGGTAGAAGTTAGAGCAGAGAGGCGTTACAGAGCGTGGAAATCAATGCTAGGACTATCTCCTCTGGAAGCAAAGAATTGAGACAAAGTCTTCTCTCGTCTAGGCATTTTGGGATACAAACACATTGTCAGGCCAAATTCGATGCCATCACATGGCTCGTCCTGAAAGCGCAGACAATTTCTCGCGTGATAGCTCACCTTCTTGCCACTCCCACTTTGATTTTGAGTTGCCGCAGAAGCTCGTCCGTCCCAGCCGTGTTTTGGTCTGTCAAGGGCCCCATCGTCTTAAGTGGTACGTCGGAGGAGATATTGTTATGCTATCAGTCATCGAAAATGTAGGAGAATTCAGAGGCATCTGGCTGGCACATTTCGTCGGTAATGCGTCCACTATTACAAGTGGAACGTAGCAATGAGACATTCAGCCCCTGCCTTCTTTATGCTAAGTAACTACGCACAGCAGCACAAAAGAAGAGGGGGCCCGCTCGTCATTTTCGCAGAATCAGCTTTTTCGTGCGTTTGCTCATCCTTCTTTCTCGTTTTTGATCCATTGAGGTCGCACACAGTAGAGCCCAGCACACACTATCTCACTGACTCTCATCGAATCTCACCACACTCTTGACCCTGTTCGATATACTCGCGAAGTCGGACGCCCTAGCAAGTAATGTAGCCCTGTGTCCCCGTGCGGAAAGACTCCGAAAATCTGGCCTTGGGGACGTTTCAGCGACCCGGAGCGATGGACACGACAAAGCAGGAGTAATGCCGGCCAAGACCTTCCGCATTACAAAAGGACGACCTTTCCAATGGCATGAGTAGTCCTTTACATGATGTTAGGTGCGTGGGCAGTGTTTGCCAGCCTACATTGTCATCGTGGAGACGGCTGTAAAGGGAGAAAGAGGGCTGAAATTAACCTCCTCACTGTCCGCCCCATCTGTGTGAGTGTTCCTGACGAGTTCAACACCCTCGCTTTGGGATTTCAAACTCCCTTTGACCACATATTCCATAAAATTTACAGATTTATCGGATAAATCGATGGATGTGGTCGACAATGCCGGCTCGTGTGCTTTCGAAAAGCAAATACAAACCCTGAAAACCCGGAGCGCAGCGACTATGAATGTGGACCCCCCCCCGTGGCTAACGAGGCCCTATAGCACGCAAGGTCCTTTGAACAAGAAGGAGGTGAGACAATACTAATCTGTTTGATGTATATTTTAGACCGATTCTCGAAGATCGAGCTGCACGTGTCTCGCAAGACCCTGCGTTGCTTGACCCTAACGTTTGCCAAAATAATTTGTATGTATTCCTTACTTTACACTTTGGCCGCCAACACAACGCTATATTGTAGCTGGATCATTTTTTCCAGGAGGGGTACTTGATAAAACGTGACGTCTTCGCGCCTTCGGAGCTGCAACCGGCCATGGACGACATCGACAGCCAGGTCGACGCTCTTGCCCACAAACTCCTCCAGGCCGGGCGCATCACCGACGTCTGTCCCTCCCTCGGCTTCTACCGACGCATGGCCGCAATAGAGGCACAATGCCCAGGGGCTAGCGTCCTCCTCCACAAAAACCCCGACCTGCCGCCGTCCTTCCGAGCCCTATGGTCCGACCCTCGCCTGCTCGACATCGCTCAACAGCTGTTGGGAGGCCCCTCCGTGCCTGTAGCCGGTCACCCCGTCTGGAATTTGCGGGTGAAGGTCCCACAAACCGCCTCCTCTGTTGTGCCCTGGCACCAGGACGCGGCCTACCTGGACCCGGAGGCGGCCGCCACCCTGGAGGTAGCTTCTCGTCTGTCTCCTCCGCCGTACCTCCCCGCCACGCCTGACTTCTCCCTTTCCTCTCCCACGCCCTCCGTCCTTCCTTTCTCTTCCTCACAGGTCACTGCTTGGATCCCCCTCTTGGATGCTAACGCCGCCAACGGCTGCTTGCAAGTGATGCGGCGGGCCCATCAATCGGGACGGACGGCCCGGCATACGTGCTGCGTGGGCGGTACCTGGTATGTGGAGATGGACCTGGATGACGCCTCCTCACGGCTGGGGATGGACTGCCGCGACGAATCCTTCTGGGACACCTGCGAGGTCCCCTTGGGCTCAGTGCTGTTCTTAAGGTACAAGGATCCGTGATCCATATTGCCCGCGTGCCCTCTGCCGGCGCGGCTTCCCTCCTCTCTTCTTCCTTCCTTCCTTCCACCCTATTCCAGGCTGCCCTCGCTGATAAACTTTCGATTTGACCCTCACTCTCCCTCCCTCCCTCCCTTCCTCCCTCCGGCAGTAATCTCATCCCGCACCGGTCCCTCCCCAACGTCTCCGCACACATCCGGTGGAGCATCGACCTTCGTTGGCAGGATGCCCGGGAGCCCGCTGGCTTCTGGGGCATCAAGGACATGGTCCTGATGAGGGAGGGAGGGAAGGAGGGAGGAACGCGCGAGGGCTACCTGGTGGATTGGGATGGTTTCTTGGCCGTGGATCGAGGGGAGGCGCAGAGTCAGGCGGCGGCGCGGGCCAAGCGGGCAGGGGAAGGAGGACAGGACGGAGGGAAAGTGGAGGGAAGGGAGATCGAGGGGGAGGGAGAGAGCGGGAAGGACATGGTTTTGGCAGCAGCAGCGGCGGCATCAGATGCCTCGACGCCTGTCATTTCTGGCCCGTGGATGTTGCGCTGGGATCTGGTTCACCACAATGCGCATACGGCGGGGTTGGAGGGCGGGCGGGAG